ACCCCCCCCCCCCCACCCAATCCTTTTCGAGATTAGTTACACATTAGGTAATTGAATAGTGCTTCCCCTTGCAAGTCTCAAAAAGATTTTAATTCATTTTATACAAAAATTGATATAAAAATAAAAAATAAAATATGTATTTTTGAAAATATCATAAAAAATCTTATAAATTAAAAATTGAAAAATATATTTTATTTTACCAAATAATTAATGAAGATACACAAAATAAAGAAAAGTTTCTATTATTTTTAATCGTGAAATGTCTCAATCTTTTTTAAATGGAAGAAGTATCATCATATATCCTTTTCTTTAAAGCATCTTTAATACTCCCTCTGTCCCCAATTTGATTATAAATTGGGGTTTACGAGGAAAAATATCTCATCTTTTGAAATTATTTTATTTATAAATCGGTATATCGATAAAAAATCAAAATTACATATGGAAAAAAACTAAGTCAAAAGTTCTACAAAACAAGAAGTGAAAAAAATATTTTATTTTATCAAATATTTAATGAAATCGCGTAAACAAACAAAAATTATTGAGAGGAGGGAGAAAAAATTATAATCAAATTGGGGACATAGGGAGTATAATGTTCTTATAGAATTGTTTCACCTATAAAATGTGACGTGGAGCACATATAGAGCATTAGTTGCTTGAGAGCATGAACAATGACATGTGATATACTGGAATGCCACACGCTGACATAACACTCTTCAACCAATCAAAGAGAGTATAGTCACATAGTGACATGGAATTAGAGTGGCTTATCATGCAACCAACATATACATCACACATCAAGCACTACTACAGAATATACATTACACATCGACTTAAAAGTGCTGTGTAAATTTTAAGACCTATTACTAGCGCTATTTGAAGGTTATTAACGCGTATCCCTTTATTTCTTTTTACGCTTACACAGCGGTGGCGCTGTGAAACCTCACCTGCGCAAATTAAAAGAACTTCAGCGCAGGTTGATTCCCTCTCCCAACCAACTCCAGATTCCAAACTCTCTCGATCGCCAAACCAGCACCGGTTGGTTTCCTCTCTCGATCGAAACGTGCAAATCGATTGATTTCCATAGTCTCAAATTGATAGCCGGCATCTATTTCTTGATTTCTCGCATAATCAATTGACTACTTGCAAGAATCAATCGCGGATCCATACATGTTTCATTTATTTTCGAAATCTTTTAATTTTTCTGCAAATTAGTGTTTTTAAGGCTTTAATTTAGAAATTGATTGTATACCATCTTTTTTCCCAACACTCTGCAAGGTAAAAAGAAGAGCTATTGATTTACACTGGTTTTTGAATCCTATTGTATTGATGAATTTTAAGTATTCTCTGGTTTAGAGTCGTTTTTGTATCCTTTATTTTGAATAAAGAAGAGCTATTGTATTGAATCCTAAAGTAAATTGGTTCTTTTAGATTGGTTTTATTTCTTCTTCTGTTAAAAAATAAGAGCTATGGATAAATTTAAATTTTGCAACTGTATTATTTCTCAACCACATACACTGCCATAGAATAGCTAAAGAACTGGTTTTTAAAGCACTGTTGAATCCAAAATTCTAGGATACTGCCAAAATAACTATTGAATCCAAAATTATAGTATACTGGTTACTGGTTATATAGACCACTTATATTAGTTTGATATAATGTTAACTCAGTGGTACCGTTCGTGACCGATGAAGTTAAAACGCTAGGTTCATCCATTGATAATTACATTGCATGGCCAAAAAATTTGATTGAAGTGGATGAGTCTTCTGAGGTATATAGAAAAAAATCAGGTTATTAGCATAAATGAACACCATTTACTTTTCCGTAAAGTTACATAATTTATTCGTCACCAATTCATACCCACCCCCACTTAGTCCCAACTATCTTAGGGTTGTGGCCATGAAATTTGTACATAGTATTAGGCAGTGTCAATTAATTGTCCACAATTAATAATACTTAACACTATAGTGCATGCAAAAAACAGTGGAAAAAATACACAAAACGCATGTCTTGACGCATGCTTAGCACTTGCTAAATTAACAACCCACTTCCTACAGCTTACTCTTACTATCTGTCTCAACAGGTTGTTTAGTTTTTGACTTTATCTTCCTATGGTTAACACAATCTCATTTTAAAGCATATTTGTTAGGAACTTCTAGTTGTGAATTGTGATCACTGGATGAAGTATTAGGCTCGGATCAGGCTTCATGAAGGGAAAACTTAACTTAATATAAACTTTGAACATAGAACAGTTTGAATCCATGGGAGTATGAATATACCGTGGTATGTTTGTGTGGTATCATGGGAGGTTGTTTAATGGATTATACTTAATTTTGTTATATACTAAATTATCCAGGAGCACTTACCTAAAAAAAAAGATGAAACCCGCGCAGTTTATATCATCTGAGCAAACAGGAATTAGAAGCAAAAGGTGTCGTATCCAAAGAGGAAAGATGGACAAAAAAACAGAAAACCAAGACCATCTAAGTCAAGAGGGGGAAGCAACTAATGAAGGCATCCAAACTAATGGAGGAGAGCACAAAGCTTGAATGTGATAAGTATGAGCCATCTACATGGGATGAGTTCATGAAAACCACCTATCACATTATATCTGAGACCCAAACCCACAGAGAAGCAGTTGTTCACATCACCAGCGATATGATGCAAGAAGAGTTCTCCTTTTCTATCTCGATAGATGTGTTAAAAGATTTCATGAAAATGAAATATGTTGATGTTTCTATTCTTCAATACTGGATTTGGTATTCCAAAACCAATCACTTCCATTCAATATTTCATTTTTTTTAAATCAGAAGTGCGCTATACAACAAGTTTAATTTAAATTTCTCCAATTAATTTTTTTGCAGGGTTCTTTGTGATCGATTTGAGCTACAGGGAAAAAATGCATACCGATTTCTAGATCCGAGCAAGATTTCATGCAAGGAGCAAATTAGTACTGGCTTGATCGAATTCAACAATAATCGCATACGTTATTGTAAGAGAATATTTAGCATTTATTAGCATTTATTTCTGTATATATTAGTTATGGTAGTTGCCTTGTATAGAGATTCCTTTTCCTTTGTTAATTAGGACTCTTTGCTATATATACGGCTGGATTGTAAATTGTAAAACACAGAAAGGAATACAAAGATTTTGATTCCGAAACAATTCTTTCATGGTATCAGAGCCAAAACTCTAGGAATTTCCGCACGATCGCCTGGCATCGCGTCCATCGATCGTTGCCCGCTGTTGCTGCCGAGAAGACCGGAACGGTCGACCGTTTGTTCATAACAGTCGAAGACATCGACCGTCCCGACGGCAGAATCTCCAACCGCTGTTGTTTTTTATCCAATTCTTGAACTCTGTCATCTGGTATGTCTGAAGAAACGCCTATGAAGATCATTTCCGGTAAGAAGAATGAAGAACGAGAGGAGGAGGAGGTTGGGGTGCGACGTCGTCGTATCTCACCTTACGATTTGTCTCCGAGCGACAATCTGGGTATGATCTTGACCCATGTCGTTCTAAAGGGAGATAATTATGATGAGTGGTCCAAATCTCTGCGCTTGGCTCTACGAGCACGCAAGAAATTTGGATTTGTTGATGGAACAATTGAGATGCCAGATCCCGATTCAGAAGATTTTGACGATTGGTGGACAAACCATTCACTGTTGGTCTCTTGGATTCGAAACACGATTGATCCAACCTTGAGATCCAGCATATCTTTTATGGAAAAGGCTTCAGATCTGTGGAGCGAGTTGAAGGCTAGTTTCTCTGTGGTTAATGGACCAAGGGTCCAGCAATTGAAGCGAGAATTGGCGGAATGCAAACAAAAGAATCTTTCTATAATGGAATATTATGGAAAGATGAAGAAGTTGTGGGATGATCTAGCAGATTTAGAGCGATTCCCAATCTGCACGTGTAGGAATTGCACGTGTGATTTGCAGGAGAAGCTCACGCAGATGCGTGAGAGGGAACGCTCCCATCAATTTTTGATGGGTCTGAACGATGTTTTATATGGGACTTTGCGGTCAAATCTGTTGGCCCAGGAAATCATACCACCGGTGTCAAGAATATATAACATTCTTGTCCAAGATGAGACGGCACGACATGGCATGCACAAAGGAGAAAGCAGTGAAGCAGGTGCATCCGTGTTTGCCGTAAAGAACAAGACGGAGGTCAAAGAGCTCATGTGCTCACATTGTGGGAAAACAAGACATGATATTGAGGCGTGCTACAAGCTGATCGGGTATCCAGAGGGATGGGTGTACCGCGATCAGGCTAGAAGAGGAAGAGGAAACGGCCGGGGAAGAGGTCGTGGTGCTGCACGAGGTGGCGGACGGTCGACCGTGGCGGCTGGACGGTCGACCGTTACGGGCGGACGAGGGGAAGTCCATGCAGTTCAAGGATAAGAGAAAGGACCATCCCCGCTCCCGAATTTTGAGGATCTGACACCTGAACAGTGGAACGCTGTTTGTCATGCACTCTCGCTCTCCCCTACAGATAACTCACAGAAACTCTCAGGTATCCCTGTATCACCTCGTTGGATAATTGATACTGGTGCGTCCAATCATATGACAGGTGATCTTTCGTTATTATATGATGTTGTGGGAGTGTCTCCTTGTGAAATTGGATTGCCTGATGGGAAACGAGTTGTGTCTGTTCAATCTGGAAAGGTTGATTTGACTATGACTATGACTTTGCAGAATGTGTTGTTTGTTCCAACCTTGAATTGCCATTTAATTTCTGTGTCACAGTTGACAAGGGATATGAACTGTGAAGCAAAGTTTACCAATGATTTGTGCATCTTACAGGACC